AAGGGATAGAACTGAAAAATCTTTGAAGAGATAATGGGCAAAATTTTTTCAAATTTTATGGAAACTGTATACCCACAGATCTAAGGATCTTGACAAATCTCAAGCACACAAAAAAATGAAGAAAATTACACTGAAGTATAGTGTTGTCATATTGCTCAAAAACAGTGACAAAGAGAGCATCTTTGAAGTTGCCAGAGAAGAAAAAGACATTATGTACAGAGAGACAAAGATAACAGCTGATTTTCATTGGGAATCATATAAACCAGAAGACAGTGGAACATCTTTAAATGCTTAAAGAAAAAAATGCCAACTTGGATTTTGAACAAAGTAAAAGTATCTATCAAAAATAAAGGGAAACAAAACTGAAGGTTTTATGACCAGGAAACCTCTACCACAAGAAACGTTAAAGGAAATTCTTCAGGCTGAAGAAAAATAATACCAGATGAAAATCTGGATATATGTAAAAAATGAAGAGCATTAGAAATAAGAACTAAATGAGTAAATCTAAAACACTGTTTCCTTATTTAAATCTCTTTAAAATAATGAACAATAGTAATGGAGTGTGAGTTTATAATTTATGTAAAAGGAAATGTTTGATAACAATAGCACAAATGCCAGGAGGAGAGAGGTGGAAGCCTAATGTTGTAAGATTCTAAAACTTTACATGAAGTGATATAATATCAATTAAAATTAGAATATGAAAAGCTAAACATGTAGACTATGAACTCTAAAGCAACCACTGAAGTAATACAAGATATAGATAGCTAATATATCAACAAAGGAGACTGAAGGAATCATAAAAATATGCAATTAATGCAAAAGAAGGCAGTAAAATAGGGAAAAAAAGAACACATGAGATGAATAGAAAGTAATAGTAAACTGGTAGATTTAATCCCAATCAATTCAATAACATTAAACATATATCAAAGATGGAGCCTTAAGATTGGGTAAAGATGCAAGAGCCAATTATATGCTGCTTGTAAGAAATCAATTTAAATATACAAATAGATGGAAAGGAGAAGTATGGAAAGAGCTGAAACTAATAGCTGGAGTGACACTATTAATATTGCATAAAGTAGATTTCAGGGAAAAGAGCATTACCAGGGATAAGAAGGGTAATTTCATAATGACAAAGAGGGCAATTCATCAAAATGATAAACAACCCTGAACATTTATGTGCCTAATAGCAGAGCTTCAAAATACGTGAAGCAAATAATGATAGAACTCAAAGGAGGGACATACTCATCCCTGATTATATTCTGAGATTTCAACAGCCTTCTCTCAATTACTGATAAAACATGCCAACAGCAAATAAGGGCATAAAATACTTGAACAATGCTCTCTGACAACTTGTCCTATAACATGTGTAGAATGTTCCACTTAGGAACAGCAGAATAGACATTCTTTTTAAGTATGTATGAAACATTTGCCAAGACAGACTTGCTGTGGATCAGAAAACAAGTTATCAATAAATTTCAAAAGATTCAACTCACCCAAAGTATGTTCTCTAACCACAACAGAATTAAATTAAGATCAGAAAGATCTGTGGAAAGCCCCAAATATTTGTAGATTAAATATTGCAGCTCTAAATTATATTGGATTAAAGAAGAAATCAGAAAAGGGAAATTTGTAAATTATTTTGAACTGAATGAAGATAAAACCCAATATATCAAAATTTTTGGATTACAGCTAAAGCAGTATGTACAGGGAAATTTATTATACTAAACACTCACATTAGAAAAGAAAGACTTCATACTAATGACATCAGCTAATTAAACCCAGTGTATGCAAAAGAAAAGAAATAGTAATAATTAGAGTAGAAATTGTTGTATGTCCTTCTGCAAAATTAGTTTAGTCCTTCTGCAAAAAAGAACAATTCAAGCCATATTTCACATTATATGCAAAAATTAACTCAAATTGAATGGCAGGCTTAAATATAAAAACTATAACTCTAAATCTTTTAGGAGAAAATCTTTGTGTCCTTGGGTCATGCAAACATTTTTTAGATAACACCAGAAACATGGTCCATATAAGAAAAAAATTATGAATTGGACTTCATGAAAATTTAGAACATCTATTTCTCAAAAGACATTGTTAGGAGAATGCAAAACAAGTCACAGATCATAGCGAAAGAATCGCAAATCACAGAACTAAAAAAAAATGTATCAGAATATATAAAAACTCTCAAAATTCAGTAAGAAGATGACAAAAGAAACCTAATAAAAATGGCAAAAGATTTGAATGCATATTTTATCACAGAATATATACAGATGTCAAATAAACCTAAAAAGATGCTTGACATTACAACATCATTAGTTACTAGGGAAATTAAAACCACAGGAGATATCAATATATACCTATTATAATATCTGTAACTAAAAAGACTAACCATACCAAGAAATGACAAGGATGTGGAGGAACTGTATCTCTCATCAGCATTCCCATTGCTGTTGAGAATATAAACTGGTAAAACCACTTTGGGAAACTTCTTAACATTTAAGAAAAAGTTAAACACATAGCTACCAAATGATTGAGGCATTCCACGCCTAAGTAATTTCATGGGAGAAATGAAAGCAGATGTCCATACCCCAGACTTGTACAAATGTGCATAGCACCTTTTTTTTTTCACAGCCAAATCCTTGGAGAAAATACCCCATAAAGTGAATTAACAGGTTTGTGATATCTACACACAATTCTACCTTTAAAAAATCTAGTGGAATTCTATCCACCCATAAAAGGAATGGACTATTGCCCCATAGATGGATCTCAAAATACTCATGCTAAGTGAAAGAAGCCAGATAAAAGTAGAGTACATATTATATGATTCTGTTTGGAGAATCCTTAGAAAATTCCTACTAATATGTAGGTACAGAATAGGGATTGGGATGGGTTACAGGGGGATAGGCGGGTAGGATCGCCAAAGTGCACCAGGACATTCTGGGGACAATGGCTGTGTTTGCTATCTTGATGGTTTCCCGTGTGTATGCATAGGCCAAAACTTACTACATTGTACACTTCAAGTATGCATAGTGCAATATTTGTTAATTATACCACAATAAAGATGTTTCAAAACTATAGCACCACGAATTTTGCTTTGTTTAGTGTTTTCTAGGTGTAAATATTTTAGTCCTTTTATTTTCAACCTTGTAATATTCTCAAATTTTAGGTGCGCACTCTGTTAACAGTCTAAAGTCAGATTTGACAGCATACGATATACCCTTAATACTTTTTGACTATTTCATGAATGAATCCGTCTAGTAATCTAAATCTGATTTAGTTTTAAAAGTTTAGTTCATATACATTCATTATGGCATATTTGAATTCATTTCTAATTTTATTAACTTATATTAAAAATATTTATTATATAATACATATATTTATATTATAAAATATCTTTTTATATTATAAATATTTATTATATCTACATAATATAGTATTGATTATATGTATATAATAGATATAGTATTTATTATATCTATATAATATAGTATTTATTGTATTATAAAATAATGTCTTATTCTTTCAATTTCTCCCATCTCCCTCTCACCTCCCCTTCCTTCCTCTTTTCTGTTTTTTCATTCTCTTCCCTTTTTGCCTTCATTTGCCTTGAAAACTTTCCCCCACATTTCAAGTTTTTTCCTTCTCCTGGTTCCGAACTATATGCTCTAATGTACTAGTTAACCGAGAAATCTTAATATATATATTTTAACTCAACAAAGTCTAAAATTACACAATATCTTGATGCTCTAATATCTTTTACGCTCTTCGCTGAACATATAAGGACCTTAACTCAAGGTGCCTTATTCCCTTGGGTGCGGAAATTTCACATTTGACTCTTCTGAGTGGCCACAAGAACTACAGCATTTTAAATTTCATTTTCAGACCACAGTGGCTGCTTGGATTCCGGCTCTCAGACGGAGGCAAGGAGGCTGGGGGTGAGAAGGCCCAAGGGAGGGCTTGCCCGCCTTCTCCTCCTCCTCTCAGAGCCAAAGCAAGTGGCCGGGCTCCTCCTGCAGGGTGTTTTCTTTCTCTTCCGGGTTCACCCAGTGAGGACATTCGTTGCGTTCAGAAATTCCAGATTTCTGCGCGGTCCTCTGAATGGATTCTCCCACCCTGTTTAGGCTCCGGGCTTTGTCTCCTGACCCTCTCATGCATGGCTTTGGCTTATTTCCTATACATCTTTAATCACCTAGAGTATTAACAAGTTCTCTGTTCTCCAAGGTTTCTGGTTAACAGTGTTGTAGCTAAGCATTTAGTTTTGGGATTTAGAGTGCTTGGATTCAAACCAAGACTCTACTACTTATTTCCTGTGAGTTTGAGCAAATTAATGAAAATGTCTGTACCTCACTTTCCTCACACGTAAAACGAGAGGCAATAATAGTTACTTGTCTCACAGGCATTATTGTGGGCATTAAATAAATGAATACATTTAGAGAGCTTAGGACAGTACCTGCCATATAGTAAGAACTCAAACATTACCTGCTATTGTTGCTACTATGTTTGTGCTTAAAGAAAACGTTCTGAGGTTTTATTGTCTTCTGTTCTACAAGAACTTAATGCCTTACAATATTAATTTTCACTATAAATAATTTTCAGCATAGCTTATTCATATCTGAATGTTTCCTCACTGACACAATAACAAGTATTTGATATTCACTGTTTCTCTGTTTTCCTTCTTCTTAGAAAATATTATCTCTTGAGGTTAGATTTAAGTCTGCTTTTCAATTATAGATTATCTTCACATGCTGTCAGAACAGCAGATCCTCCTACACAGACAAGATTCTACCACTTATACACAGCATGGTAACATTTTGTTTTTTAAGATACAATGATGCTGGCTCATGTCATTTAGTCAGAACATAGCGGCCTATGTACATCAAGCCCTGGAACAATCACCTACACCACGTGGGCTGGCGTTGTTTTATTAATGACGTTTGAACAAAATAAATTTCAAGTTTAAGTCCTCTCCCCGGATAACACAGATCACGTTTCTTAAATACCTGGTGAATGAAGCTTGGTGGCTGAAGCTGCTATTCTCTTAGGAGATGAAACAGCCGGCTTATTAGCATCTTGATCTTTTTGCACTTCTTTCTTTGTCCCTATATGTATTTTAAAGAGAAAAAAGGAAAGAGAGCTGAAACAGTAGCACAAGTGGTTTGTGGAAAGGGAGGCTTAACAAAAGGCAAACAGAACAAAACAATATTTGGATGATTTGTTGCCATGGTCACCACCCCCTGTGCTCCAGGAATGGCACCGCCATCCACAGCCAGGGGAATTCGGTTGTATTGGGCAGGGGAGTAAGCACATGACTGTCTCTGATTCTGGTGAAAAATGCCCCTGTCTCTGGAGGTCACTGCACTCCGATGACCCTAGCAAACTGTCTGGGAATTAAAATTAAACAGTCCTTAGCCACCAACTCAGTCTGCCTGCTTTCTGCTGAAGCAGATTTTCAGAAGACAGAAGGAAGCTGTAGCTGAATATAACTGCTAATGACTCCAGCATCATTGAGAACCCAGCCACAGGGGACATGGTCGGCCTCTAATTAATTTCCATGCAGCTGGTCCACAGAGGTGACCTAGAGTGCCTTCAGCTCTTGGCTGCAGCAGCATGGGAAACCTGCGCGTGGGCAGTAGCTAAGGACAGCATGCAGTGCCCCTCAGATAATGTCCAGGGACAGGGACACACAGGGCTCAGAGCCCTTCTCCCTTGTGAGCTGGGCACAGTCACTTCCCTTCACATCATCTTCATCAGAAGTCACAGAACAGTGAATAGAAGATTAAAGATATAACAGAGACCTGGACGTACCTACACCCACCTCCACTTCAGCATAGTTTCTTCTGTTATTTCAAAAATAAGCCCTGGTGACAGTTCCTTAGATGCAGAACATGAATGTACCACTTTTTCCCAAACCCTGCAACTTCATTCCTCTTCTAGAAGTAACCACTGATAGCAATTTGGCATTTATTCTTATAGAACTTTTTCTAGGTATTTATCAATGTCTCTACACATATATAGATACAGCTATGAATTGGTTAAATGAATCACAGACTATAAATTCTTCTTACTTACCCACATTTTGAAACATCTTTTTTAGTATCAGTGTATTTGTAGATCTTTTTAAAATGCCACATCATATTAATGGCAAAGATATATCAAAATTTATTTACCCATTCTTCTACTGGTGAACATTTAGATTTTAAGTTTTTGCTACTAAAAGAGCTAAATGTGCCACAATAAACATTCTTCTACTTGTTTCTTTTGTACATATGTACCAGTTATCTTTACAGGAAAAGTACATAGAAGTGTTTTTGTTAAATTAAGAGTTTTCCCATTTGCAATACTGCTAGACACAGTCCATCTGTTCTCAAAACTCATTTATACTCCCAACCACAGTGTATGAGGGCAGCTCTTTCTATGGTATCCTATGCCCTCCTGACATGGAGGTCTCAATCATTTTCGTTTTTGCTAGATACTTAGGGTTCTCTCATACTGGTAACGTGTACTTCTTTGTTTAAGAATTGCCTAATTAAACCCTTTGTCCATTTTTCTTACTGATGTATAAGAACTGTGCATTTATTCTGGATATTAATCTTTGCCTAATATAGAAATTATATTTTCCAGGCTTTTACTTTGTAAAACTTATTTATGGTATCTTTAATTGAGCTCTAGCTTTAAATTTTAGTATGTTGAAATATTTCAAAATTTCCTTGACAGCTTTAAAAGCACTGGTATGGATTATTTACACATGTGTGCATGCAAGTGCCTGCATGCACGTGTGTATACCTGATAGGGGGAGGGATCAGTTCAGGGGTTTTTATAAATGTGTAAAAGGGGAGGGAGGAAGGTATGTGGGTCCAACCTCCCTGCCTCCTGTTCTTCCCTCTGGTCTGACTGGTACCGCTTCCCCTCCCATCACCCCTGCCTCACCCCCATCCATCCCTGACCACCTGCCTTCTGCCCTTCCGCCCACACTCCTGTCATAATCTCCTCTGTTTGGCTTTGCACAAACTGTGTTAGTCTTGTTGATTTAAACCTTCTAAGGCATGAATTCTCTTTTGTATTTCTCACCCCCGACCCCACTTTTTTTCTTCCTTCTCTCAATATGCTTCCCAATGTTTAATTTACCTACTCCCCGTCTTTCACCTCTCAGGGAGTGACACCCCACTCGCTCACTGTGCTCAGGCCCCAAACATCAGGAGCCTTCTTGATTCGTTTCTTTGCTCTTTGCCCCTGTTGAGCCCATCAGCACAGCTTGCCGGCTCTCCTCGGAGACTGTATCCCAGGTCTGACCCCTTCTCACCCCTCGATGGCCTCTGCAGAGCCCATGTCACCAAGACACCCTCTTCTTCCCTCCACAGACTCCTTCCTGTCCTGCCGCCCCCACTCCTGTCCCCCTCCCACTTACTCTCCCAACAGCAGCAGACGCATTACTTCAAATCTAAGCTAGAACACATCACTCCTAATCTCAAAACCCTCCCATCACCTCCTCGGATGCTCGGAGTGAAATGCAAACCCCTTATAGTGCCTACAAGGCCCTATAGATCAGCGCTAGGAAATAGAAACATGAGCCATTTACATAATATAAAATTTCCTAGCAACATCATTTAAAAAGTAAAAGTACAATGAAATTCATTGTCATATTTTATGAAACCCACCATAGTCAGGATCACTTCAACCTCAGGCACTGGCCACCTTTCAAGTGCTCAGTCACTGCTGGTGGGCCAGTGGCCACTGCACTGGACAGCACAGCCCCAGATGAGCTGGTTCCCCGGCTACTTCACAGAAACAATGTGGTGGTGAATTTTGGGTGTCAACCACAGCTTGCCCAAACATTTGGGGAAACATTATTCTGGGTGTGTCTCATCACAGAAGCCTTCTGTATTAGTGTCCTGATGCTGCTATAACAAGTCATCACAAATTCAGTGTTTAAGCAATAAAAATGTATTCTCCTACAGCTTTGGAGGTCAGGAGCAGGCACCTGTCTCTCCGGTCTGCAGGGCTGGCTCCTCAGGAGGTTCCAGGGCAGTACCTGTTACCCTGAGTTTTCTGGTTCCCAGTATTCTGTGGCCCCTCTTGCACCTTCAAATACCATGCCAACCTCTGCTTTCTCCACTAACACCTCCTGCCTTCCCCTTATAAGGACCCTTGTGATTACACTGGGTCTATGTGGATGACTCAGGATAACCTGCCCATCTCACGACAATATCCCTTAACTGAGTCGTACCTGCAAAGCCCCTTTGGCCATGGGAGGTGACGTTCACAGATTCCGGTGATGAGGACATGGCTGTGTTTGGGGGCCATTATTCAGTCTTTCACACATTCTCTAACTGAATGAATAAATAACTTCTTTCTACTCACCAAAAAGGCACTGAATGTTTGGCCTATATTAGCTCCCTGAGTCCTGTCCCTTATTTATGAAGATTTCCCTCATTTCATCACCTTCTCCTGAATAGCACCCTTTCCTTAGACCCACTCTGCTTTCCGTGTTTTCCTTCCCCCATACAGACTCTACCCCTCTGCCGGATGTGTCTCATTTGGCCTGACCAGCTCCTCTGAGCAGCACCCATGCTGACCTTTGGGGAACCAACCCTTCCCTGTGCTGTTCCATGTGGTTGCGTGAGCCTGACCCACCTGGATCTGGAGGCGGGAATGTGACCCAGGCCTGCCCAGTGTGACGGAGCATGCTGGCTGGAGAATGAACGTAAGATCCCGGATGGGGCAATGAAAGCCCTATCTTGAGGATTTTGCTGGGTTTACCAGAAAATAATTCCATTTCTGTAAAATGCCTAAGCTGGTGGGATATAAGCCTGAACTGCCACTGACCATCTTTGTCTCCACTTGGACAGTCTCTGTGACGCAGCAGCCAGGAGAGGGGGAGAGGGGCCGGGAGACAGGGGGACATCTGCGGCGACACTGTTTGAGCGACGAGGTGCAGCCGTATCTCACGTTAGCACTATGACCTGAACTTCTCAGTAATGTGAGCCAAAATGCCTCTGACCTTTGACCTTCTTTTGTGCCCAAGGCAGTCTGACTTAGGGTTCTGTGACTGGCAACCAAACGGAACCTGAACAGTACGATGCCAGCCAGAGAAAATAGCACCTTAATATACATACACACATGCTCATGTTGTAGGGGGTTGTTGTTGGTAAAAACCATGGCTTGTGTACGTCCGTGTACCTCATGTGTGTGGGTGTGGAGCTTCAGAGCTCTGTAAAAGGACATATGTTTACAAAATCCAGAGCCCTACCCCTGGGGCCCTTGGCGTGGGAGGAAGGGACAGCAGGAGGAGGAAATGCCAACCGCTTTCTGGTCCCAGAGGAGAATTTATAGGGCTTAATTTGAAATTCTCTCACTGATAAAATTCACCCAAGTCCAGATAATTTCTTCAAATCCAAATGGTCCTAAAGCGTTTCACCCTAAACAAAGCAGCAAAAAGTATCCCAAAGGCCAAGTTGAAGACTGCTGCTTGGCAATCCATACACAGTTTCTCACGTGGACAAGGGCCTTTCACAGTAATAGGAGTGACTTTGACACCTGCTGGGAGAAGACCCGCATTGTGTTTTATTTCTGAACCGGACATCATAAAAGTGATCAACCCCCCGTTTATCTTGGATGCCAAAGTCAAAGACCTCTTGCATGGGAGTTGTGAGGACGTGGCTACGACTGCCAGTCAAGTGTGATGGGCTTGCTCCAGGATGAGGCTGTCATCTTAAAAACAAAATGAAATGACAAATGACAAGGGCTAATTCAGGATCCTGACTGAGCCCATCCAAGTGGGATAAAAGTTAGATTTAAGATAATAGTTAGAAGAATGCTTTATACTTGCTTCAAAAAAAGAAGTAAGCACATCAAAAAAAAAAAATCAAAGGGGACTTTTACAGGCTCTTAACTTCAAACACAATCAGCCACAAATTCCTGTAAGTAAACCTCAGTGTAAGTAAAGAAAGATAAGAAACAAAAAAGGATAAAGAAATACACATGGCAATAGGCTTCATCCCCCACCGAGTCTAATGGTCCTACTACATATACCTGGGAGAGTATAGATAACGGGCTGATTCTCCCCCTGGCCCTACAGACCCATTCCCAGGCAGGGAATATG